GCTTATCTCTTTTTTTTTTTCTTCCTTTCCCAGGCATCGCTCTGTTCTTCTGAGAATAACTGCTAGAACTCTGATCGGTGAGTAATCAAAAATTTTCAAACGTCTGTTACCAAACCTGCTCCCATCGTGATCGAGTGACATTATCACATCAGAATGATGACTTACTGATGGCCATCCATTATAGCTGCTTTTTTTATCTCCAAGATCGTTGCCAGATTACAAATTTGACTTGGCTGGTCTTGCTCTAAGGTGACTAAGGTGAAAGATCCTCTCTTTCAAAACAACTCAGAAGTGCCATCTTCTGAAAAAGTTCGCAGGGTTTTTTTGTGGCCAAAAGCGTTGTTCTATTACATGAAATCCATTGCATGCAGTTCACTACGTACAATACTGCAGCTGCACTCCTGAAATGTAATAGAAGCTGTTCTCCTTTTTTTTGTATTGTAAGTAGATCTGAAAAAAACATTTCTGGTTGTATTGGAACTATGAAAAACTAATTTAAAAATAACTGGGGGAAGTAGGCAGTTGTCTTAGGCTGGTATTTTCAGACAGGCCTGTGGTATTAGGTACCTCATCTCGGTTAACTTTGAATAACTCTGATACGTTTCTCGAGAATCCAACATGTATAGTTCTCTCTCCTAAACAGCAGTAAAGTACCACTTTGTAAAAACATTTATTGACTCAGAAGCCAACTTCTACAGTGGGATTATTTGCATGTTGTCATCTGGAGTAATTTTACAATTATGAAGAACAGTCCTCTGAAACTAAATCTAAAGGGTTTTTGCTCCATACTCTTACTGATTGCTTTCCCTTTTTCACCTCAGAAATTGTGTGAAATTTATTCCATCATACATTCACTGTTTGACTGTAGATATTTAAATCAGTGAATCATCTACCTTCCTTCACAGATGCCCTCAGAACATGTCTAATTGGACAAGTCTGTGGTATGTCTGGTAAGTTTATTATTAATCTTCCTAACCCAGAATAATTTGAATGTTATTATGAGCAGTAATTGTAGTAAGGTAATGGAAACACTCTTCTCTCAGACAGGGTGGAGGAAAGGGTTTCTCCTCAGTTTTATGAACGCTACCAGTGGAATATATTACAGATGAGACCACAGGGGAGATAAGGTGTCAGGCAGGGTACAGCATTCGTCTAGGAATATGTCATCTTTCCTTTCTGAGTACGCTGCAGTTTAACTGTAGGGCTTGTTTGTTCTTCCTAAATAGACAACTTTGCTGAGCACGGTGGCAGGTACACAGCATGGACTTGTTGGGGCTCAGCAGTCCTCAGCGCTCCTCCGTTTATGGGACAAGGGTTTGTTAGCTTATAGTGTTGCGTTTTCCTTCTGAAGTCAAGCTGATTACAAGCCTGTTTAATGGCTGTTTGAATGACCGAAAGGGGGAAAATAGTGATAAGTAAAAGGGTAAGCTCTTGTCACAAGTGGATTCGTTTTTTGCCTAACACATGCATTACAGGTATCCTAACATTATTTTTATAGTTTGCATTCTGTCAGTATATTAACTTTGATGGTAGCACGCAGACTGAGTTGGTTACTTTTAGCTGTCATTCAGTCTGGACTAATTTTGGTTGATATTCTTTGCTTTCTTAGAACGTGCTGATACATAGAACTGTTTAAAAATACATAGTTGCATAAAATATTTTACAGCTTCTGTAATTAGGCAGCGTTGAAATCATGAAAACTAATGAGCTAGTGCTGAGATTTATACTGCCGAGATGCCTTTACCTAGGAGATTTCTGCCTTCATCAGAGGGCAGCAGCAGATGAAGGCATGATGATTTCACAGAACACACTAGCGTGCAGCTCGTGGAGTGTCAGGAAATACTGATTGGCTAGCGATGAGGTAATACTCCTCGCACTGGAGGGATGTTTCATTGCAAAGTTCCAGCAGGGCAGCATGTTCTCCTCACACACAGTTTTAAGTTGCCTGAAAGCGTTTTTCTAAAACAATAATTTGCAGGAAAAGGCGTGAAATTTTGTGGAAGTTTGAGGCCCTCAAGTCCAACCTTTATACTGAGGGTAGTCTTTGTGTGTATCTGACTCTCATACTAACAGAAATATACTCTTGTTAAAACTAAATAAAACAGTTACTAAAGAAATGTTTATTTTGGAATCATGACTCTCAGGGGCAAGTACTACCTTTGGTTTGGAAAAAAGAATACAATGCTACTGAGGCCATTTTAATACATATTTAGGGTGGAATATAATCCTAATGAGAAATTCAGGAGCATGATCTGTCACACAGTAGTTTCTGTCAAGCCACTATGAATGTACTTCAACTTTGTCCTTGGACCTACTTCTTTGCAGGACTTTCAAGCATTTCTTATTACCTCATCTTCTCATGACATGTCTTACTGCTCACCTAGCTCATGAGAAGAGTGGATTCATTTGAGAAGTTGGGGGGCGAGAAGGTAGAGTTTGAGCTGAGGGGAGAACCTGAAACACTAGCATGTTGACCTAGGTGCACTAGGAATTATTAAACAATAAACTTTGTTAAACAATACCTAGAGATAGAATTGCGTTTTCAAGACATACTGCAAAATATAATCTCTGTGCTCATTTATAGATATAGGTGCTAGACTTGTGCAAGTTTGTACTTGTGTTTCCCTCCAAGTACATACCCACTCCTACTGTTGAAAGTGGAGCCATTCTCACTGCATAAAAGCTGAAAATACAACCAAAGATAATTAACATTACGTCATCTGTGAGCCAGAAGGGATTGTACCGATGGTCAGTAGTACTTCAACTTGTGATTAAGTGTTTGTGATCCAACTTTCTAATTCAGGATCCAGCACCCATTCAGAACTAAACCTAGGAGGTTTGGCCTGTCGTCACCCATTTAGAGTGAAATTATGTTCAGCTCTGGAAGAAGTAAAACATAAGCAATGAAATTACGGTATTCTCCCTCCTTCTCTAAGGTTAATCTTGCTGACTGTGTTCCTGCTCCTGCTCTGTGGGATCACAGCAAGCTGCATCAAATTCTGCTGCTGGAAGAAGAGGCCTCCAGTTGAGACCTTCTCTAGGCACCCTTATGATCTGACAGTTATTGCTATTGACAGTGACAGCACTGCCCATAGCACAGTGACCTGTAAGTATCCTCTGGAAGTCAACAGTGCTTTGCTATTGAACGTGTGCCTAGAATTCTGTGTCTAGCCCTTGCAATAACGGGGACTTTCTGATGTTCTCCCAGAACAACTTTCAGCCCCATAGGGTGGGCAAGAGAGATAAAGGAAGGTCATCAGGGCAACACAGTAAGTGAGTGCAGAAGACAAGTAGGATTTCATGCTATAGAAGTTAAAATAAAGTCCATGGTGGGTTAACCTCTTACGTGTCGTCTCCCACATCTGTTCTTGTCGCATTCCTTTATTTTTTTAACTTTTATGCCCACCTCACTGTCCAACTATTCCAGACAAAGTTATCTCTAATGTGAGGAATTGTTCACAGCTGTTCATGTACGAACCCGACTGAAACTACCTCTGTTACGACATATGTGTACTATGTCACGTATTTCACAATAACTACTAGATGGTGATATGCAGAGACATTTTCTCTTCTGACTGCTTTATTTTGGAGAATGATTCCATCACGGGTAATTCTATGCTGATAGCTTTTAGTATATAGTGCATATGTTCTGACACCACAAAAACGAGTCCATAATTTCTTGGAGAAAAGCAGGATTAGCCCTTTATATATCAGCGTTCCATGCAAGTGTTTAATTTTTTTTTTAATTCCTTTTCTTCACAGCATATAGCTCGTTGCAGTACCCTCTAAGTGCCCCTATTCATTCGATTTTTGTGGATATGGATAAGATCACTGTGTCCCCTCCAGCTTACAGTCTCTATGCAATGGAGTTGCCACCTTCTTATGATGAAGCTGTCCAAATGGGTAAACAATACATTGAAGTCACACGGATAAGCCGGAAATTCAATGACATCCCTGGACAGGCGACACTGGGTGGGCTGAGTCCCATCCAGTATTCACCTGATACAATCAACAGAGATCCAGCAACACAGGCAAATTCAGAAGGTGCAACACAAGAACAGCCGCAGCTCTGACTCATTTCAGATGGGGAGTAAAGAAAGGGAAGGACTGTAAGAGTTGAAGAAGACATGAAGAGTTTGGTTTTATAGGCAGGTTATGATGGAAGGATGTTTCTTCTCATGCCCTTGTAATGACCTGTCAGTTAGAAGAAATGTTTTCTGTGACTGCTGTAATCTCCTGGTAAAGCTTCTTCAAGGATATGAAATGAAGTAAAAGGGCAGCAGTTTAAAAATGCCTGTAAAAGTGGGACATGAACGCTTGTTCATCTGATTAAAAACAAAAAAAATTCCTTGTGTCCAGCATACGGCAATAAAAAAGGTGAGGGGAATTTTGCCATCCTGGGAACACACATGAAGAGTCAGAACAGTACAAACAGCAAGTTGTTGTTCTGGAACAGAAGCTTCCCAAACTGGAGTTGAAAGGGGAATCCTAGCAAGTCACACTGAATGGCCTCTGTAGTTTCTCTTCTTTTGAGAACGTTAACTGTCCAGCACTGTTGCTGGGGTGCAAATTGCTACATAATGGTGCATGTTCCTTAAACTGCAGGAAGATGGCGAACAAGGACAGGAAAGTGTGTGGAGGGAAATGCAGTATGTTATGTTTCACAACTAGGGGCAAGGAATGAGATAGACAAGAAAAGATACCTTTTTTTTTTCTTGGTCATGAGACCTGAAGGGATTGTTTTTGAAGTTTTTTAAATCTTTAAACTTCTATTTTCAAGATGAGCTGGCTTGAGGGTGGGATCCTCTTACTACTTATCTTTGCCAGTTAAAGTACAAATTAGTCTCAAAGAGACACTTGCACACATGGTTAAGTATTACTCATGTTTTTCAAATATTCATCAAATATTTCAAAGATGCCTTTATACTTTGTTATCCGCTCAGGTGTCAGGGTCTCGGTCAGTACAGAAAAGAAAAAATCAAAGATTCCTGGCAGCTTTCGCCAGTTTAGTATGTAGATGAGCTCAGTAATGTGCAGGATGAAGCAAAGCATGCTCTAGCTGTGCCATCTAGAATAAATTACAAATACAAAATACAGGCTGTAGTACAGGCTGGGCAATACTCTTTAGGGATGATTCTTCATGAAGTACTGATAGCAAAGGTAACTGCTATGCATCATTTTAAAACTGGGAGCTTGGAGTTGATTACAGCAGTCTCAGCCCAAACAAAAATATGGGCTATGAGAGGCATTTTTGTAAATTTCCCTTTCTTGCCCCTCCCATATTCCAAATAGTATGAATTTTGTCCACTCCTGAGTAGTGTTTTTCTTTGAATCCACTTTAGCAAGGTGCTAATTTGGCTACCTTTAAGAACATAAGCAATTTACAGGAGTGTTCATTGCTATGGGATTATCTAGGGTAAGAGCAGAAATGAAAGCATGAGCACTAGGTGCTATTAACGAATGTAACATAAAGTGTGGAGTGCTAGGTCAGAGTTAATGTTGACTGACCTTCTGCTAACAAGAATATGAATGATGGTCTTCATTTTTTGTTGAAGTTGCTTTGGCAGCTGTGAAAAGGGGCTACCTTCTGCAAATATTGAGGTATCTGTCATTAATAAGCAGTAGAAGCGGTGGGCACAAGCTTTTAGAAGACTATTCTCTGACAATGATTACTGCAAGAGCTACCCTGGAAATGAGCACGAATGGATTAAAAATGAAGATGTCTCTGCCAGCCAACAGGACTGAGACTAGAATCTCTGCTACACATTCATGGTGCATGAGCTGTTCTTGAGTCCAGCTCCCTAGAGAAGTGTTGGTTCTGTATTTAACTTGCATATAGCTTACTATGAGGGTTGCAGGGAAAGATTGGTTTAATAAATCTGCTTCTCTTCTGTCTCTTCTCTGTCCTTTTTAATGATACTTCTCCTGTTTTATTCTCTCCTCTGCCTACTTTTTCTGTGTCAAGAGACTAGGCATAACCCAGTGTAGCTATTTGGATGACTCTAGCTGGAAGAGCAATATATGCCTGGTCCTGGGCATCTCCAAGTCACAAATACAGCAGATGTATTTTTATTTATTGAACTTTTCCGTCAGGATAGTACTCAGAAACAAATCCTGTGCCTTTCCAGAAAAGAAATATCTGTTGGAGGGAAATGGCTGAGTGCTCACTCACTAATAGAAACAGGAATATAAAACCAGGCAAATGAAAAAATAGTGACTGACACAAGAGGGCAGTCCTTCACTTTTCAGTGTATTGCATTATATCAGCACTGGGAACAGCTTTGTAAAAGATGAGCTCGTGGTGTTGCAAAAAGGCGAGGGCGCTTCTAAGGCTCGGTTTTGCTCAGTTCTTCAGAGATTACTCCACAGTTCAAGGACTGAGCTTGCTTGGGGAGGATGAGGGAGTAATCACAATGATTTGACTTCCCTTCCCTTCATGCTTTTGCTTGCACAACGCTTCTGTCTTGTGAGTTGTTAGCAGTACCTGACAGACCATCTACCAAACTTCAAGGAGATCTGTTTCCATTTGGTTATGGGGGATGATAGTTCTAACTGCAAGACCCCAATCAAAACCCTAAATGCCCATGGAGTGCTTACAAATGCGATCTGACCCTGTTACCACCTGAATTAATAGAAAAGCCTGTCTCGCTTTGGAGCACCTCTGTTGCCAATCTAGCCTAGTTAGAATTGCCCTGTAGTAATCTGTTGCTTAATTTCATACTTCCACAAGTCATTATGGACTTGCCTCTTCTTTATGAAAGTACAGAGTAGGCAAAGAGGGAGTAATGCTGCAGGAACTGGGGTTCCGTGTGTGTATGTAGGAAAAAAGTGTCATTTAACACAGCACAGTGAATAAAGCACTTCGTTTTTTCCCTGACTTCCTAGGAAGAGGGGCATAATCTGGTGTTTTCTTTCTAACACCTAAGGAAAAGACTTGTGTTTTGCCCAAGGTCTTGCCTTATAACATGGTTCATTAATTCAAACATAAACTATTTGTTAACATAAACTACTGACCTAATCAGCCTGCAGGAACAAGGAATTTTCTTTGCACATCAAAAGCAGCTCAGTTTGCTCCTCACAATGTTTTCAATAGTGATGTCTCAGCCCTTTATCAAAATCATCTGACTCCTCACAGAAAGCTGATAACCAAAGCTGACCCCAGCCCTCTGTCTTTGGGGAGGCAGATTACCCCCACAACTGTTCATTATTTACATCTCCAATTAACAGGTTTCTTCAGCTCAATAGCATTGCAGAAGTTATATCCCTCCAGACAGAAAGATCGTGAGTAGGGGATTTACAAACTCCATTTAAATTCCCGCAGCAAACAAAGAGCTCTCTTCCCATCTCAGTTTATATTTGTGTAGAAAGTCCAATTCACCAATTAGAATCACTGTTGCATGTGGGAACACAGTGAGAGAAAATGACCCCTTAATGAACTAATGTCAGAAAAAAGAATTAAAAGGGTGGTCTCCTGAAACCTGGTCTACACAAGCAACAGCTTGAAAATGTTGCTCCCATATGCCTTACTTAATGCTAAATAGCAGGAAATAGAATGGAAAAGAGTGCCCATTGATCACCTGGGTCTTTTCAGTTTAATTGGGCAAGTCACAGAAAGACTTTCTTGTTGTTAATGTCTCTAAAAATAGGCCTAATGGCTAGCTTCCACTCAATGTGCATATTTGCAAAATGACTAGGAAGAGGACACTATGAGCTCCTAACCCTACTGCATGGTAAGTTAAAATGAACTTTGTTTTAACTGAGCTTTTAAACCTCACTGACCAAATCCGAAAATGTGGAATGGAGATTAATGCTCTGTCTTCATTTCTACTGTTCTTTTCCATACAAGTTTCTCTTTTGACTTTTGATTTGTGTTCTGAAAAGCTCCATTTACCTCTCAGTGTGGGCTCTGACTTTATAAGCCTAGAAAATTTTGTTTTGTTGTTGGTGCCCTTAATGAGGCTCAAACAGCAAGTGGGACACTTTCAAAAGCTCCCAAAATAGATAGACATGGTGTTCCTTTGTGTTTATTCTATTAAGTGCGTAAAGGGGAAAGGAGGGATAGGATTATTCTTAAATTTTACTTGTTCTTACCGGGTATGATGACTGGGTCCCTGGTTTTGTCAGTGGAAAAGTATTCGGAATGTAAATGGTTAGGTTTGCCCTTAAATTTGGATTCTGCACTATTAAAGTCAGAGGAAACAAAATGAGATTCTGTTGCAGAAAAAGAACCTGGTTTACATTCAATTTTATTCCTTTTAGCCACATATACCTTCCCTCTTGTATTTCCGAACAGGTATGACATGTCTCAACTTCCGGTCAGAAATCTCGTACAGTGTTGCCGTAGGCTCTTTAAGAGCCATCAAATAGCATCCAGAGGTGGGTGTATATCAGTGAGAAATGAAGCTATCTCTATGGATGTATTTCTTATAGCCAGTTTTTAAAGTACTCTGAAGTTTCAAAACAAGACACTGTAACTGATACAATTTATTAGTGCTCTGGTCATCTAAACTGTGAATGTCTAAACCAGAAGCCTTTCATGAGAAATGTGCTATCCCTGTTGGTAGTATAGAATAGCCTCCCTGGAAGATCCAGGATCAGCATAGTTTCACTCATAAAGAATTAATCTATACATTTTTCCCCCTCAAAGATGCTTTAATAATTAAACAGGTTAAAAAAAAAAAAGTTTTCCAGAACAGAGAAGTGAATTTAACTGGACAGATTAAAAAAATTCAATTACTTTCTAATAAGGTAGTCATTCAAGCATGTCTAAATAATTTTAAATGAATGTCTAAATAATTTTAAATTAGGTAATTAACCAAACAGGACTTCACTCATTGTTAGATCTGCTCAGGGTTACTCTCAAATCATTTGACTTTGACAGGTGTGTATCACAACATATTTTTCATACAAGTCTCATGCCATTTGTGTAAAAGATGTAATATTACAGGCACATAAAGAAGCTGTGGGTGTTACAGTGTGGTACAGCAAAGAAAGGCAATATACTTGCCATGTTCTCAGTATCTTTGAAGACTGCTCAGATCCCTAATCTACTGCTAAGTACTGGCCCCAAATG